ATTTTTCCCCATTTATCAAATATTTGAAGTTTTAATGTAAGAGAATATGAATTATTTTACAATAAAATAATCTAATGATATATGAAGCTCTAACAGAAAAAAGTAAACAAAACATGCTACAGAGTAAGACCATTGTATACATAATAATATTGTATATAGTATATTACATATAAAAAAAGTAATTTTAAAGCGCATAACACTCTCAAATTTCAAAGTTAAAAATTTAGCTAATACTTTTTCAAAATAATACGATATTTTAAAATGAAACTATTTACTACTATGAAAATAATAATTTTCGGGAACAGAAGTTAAATGACTAAAATAATTAAAACGAATGTAATATTAATATTGTTGTAACAATTTGCATTTTGTTTTCCTGTAATTAATTTCGTAAGCAAATTAGTAAGGCAAATGTGTTTTCATGTGATTAAACTCAACATAAGATAGGTGAGATTGGAAATTTTCGAGCAAACTACTTATAAGTTGTTGCCTCGAAAATATCATCCTCAATAAGTTCTCAATAAGTTTTAAAAATTGTAATTCGCTTTAATGTAGTTAAATTGATATAAACCTTTATAGTTTCTGCATCAAAACGGTTTTATTTTGTATGTGAAATTTTTATTCTTATTTTCTGAATTTTTCTTAATAGTAACCATCAAAAGATAGATTATCAGAACGTATAAACAAAGTAAAAAAACAAAGTTTTATATAACTTTGGTTCTAAAAAAATCACTTAATGATGTTAACCTATCGGAAAAATTTATAAAAAAAAATTTTATTGTACCAGTTATCTAATAAAATTTATCGTGAAACTTTAGCAATTGCTATTATAAACTTTTTGATCATGTATTACATAGTCGCATATTATTGGCAACAAATTGCCACAATATAGAATCAATACTATTGAAATTTTGGGATATTGTCAGATTTATGCTATAATAACTTTGTAACTTGAACAATAAGGATAATATTATCAATGTTGTTTAAAGTAAAAATTTTTGTAAATTATTTGTATATATAGATATATTATATTTCGTTTTTATGTTAAAATTTAACTTGTGAAGAATTATACAGAATAATGACTACTTCACTTGAAAGCATTCCTTTTAGAATGTTCTTTGTAACTTTACACGCTTGTTTGCAGTTCAGAAATATGTATATATGTATACTTACGTATTTCTAATTTAGGTAAGTGTAATAAAACTTTAAAAATTAACTTTAATATTTAGTGTGTATAAGAATACGTTAACTCTTCTTGAAAACATAAGGTGTTTATTAAAATTTAAGAATGTTAGAAACTTTTTAGCTCTAATTTTGTTTACTATATTTGGATTGAGATGGAAGTGTTATCAAAGCAATGTGAAATGTGAGCAGTCATTTAAGTCCTTTTGTTTTTGTATAGTATTAATCATTTTCGTTTGTTTTAGGTATTTGCCCCGTATGTGTATAACGGTATAACGGTATTTGAATTGAGTACACACTCTTCAGTTTAATCATACGATTACAAATTGAAATCTTTCAATGAATAGCTTCGAAATTATAATTTTAATTTTATTTCAATAGGTGTATGTTGAATGAATGAATGTTTTTGAAAAAAGTGTAAACTAAACCTCTAGCTCAGTCAACCAATTAAATACCTTATTGTAATGAAAATAAATTTGATTTCATTTCTCTTTTATGTGTGATGATTGATCTTTTTCTTTTTCCGAAAAAAAAAAGAAAATGAAAATTCTCATTTTTATGAGAAATCGTAAAAATTCTAAATAAAGATTTTTCATTACAAAGAAGAAAATTACAAAGGATAAAAAATGGGAAAACAAAAAAATTACAAAGATTAGGAAGAATTGACTGTTTTATGGTCAACAAAATCAAAAATACGATTTTATTATAAGGAAGAAAGGAAGGAACTAAAAGGGAAAGTATTAAAACGCAGATGTTACCAAATAAAATTTTTCTTTTTCTTCTTTTCATTTTTGTTTTTTTTTTGGTAATATTCATTCAGGACAATCGGTATTAAGAGATTTTAACAAATTTTTTTACATCAAAATATTTGCATTGTATTTGCTGCTGATGATATAAGATTATTAGTTTTGTGATTTATTTATTATTCAATTTACTTTTTTGATAAGACTCTTTTGGCTTATGTTTTACTTTTTTTCAGGTTTTCATATTGTTTTTGTTTTCCTTGAAAGCAACGACATAAACAATTTTCAGAAATTTCAAAAGAATCAACGATAAACTTTTTTAGATTTATTTAAAGAGCAAATATTTGGTTTTAGTTTCAATTAATGATTTTATTATTATTCATGAGAATTTTGTTCATACAAAGCTGGTATAGATATACGAGTAGAATAATAAATTTATGATTTCATTTGCAACGTCTAAAAGAAGGCAACGTGTTATTTTCGATTTGAGTTTTTAAAAATGGTTCAAATCAAATGATAGTAATTATTACATGTTAAGGGTGTCAGTTTCAGTGGCACTATGTAGCATGACGCTGAGGAATTTTCAAATTTTTACTTTCCCCACTGCCTTGAATGTTTTTTAAATTAAAAAACATATATTATATGATCTCATTTATAAATTGAAAAGTTCTAGCTTCGCAAAAATTAAATTAAATAAAATTTAAAATAGGCCGAAATTTTCAAGAAACGAGAAAGCAAATAAGAATTTTAACATTAGTGTATGATACCGCCCAGACTATGTATTTCTCTATGTATAACTCTATGATATGAATTCTATGCTTTTGAATAAACCTATAATAAATATGAACCAATGTTAAATTTTATAATTTAATTTTTTATTATTGTTATTATTCGTTTTACAGTATAGACACTAACGTTTGTAGTTTTGTAAATATTGTAATGTTATAATGTAAAATTAATTTTCCAAGCGAAATTAGTGGGGAAAATTTTTTTTTTGTTTCAAGCAAATTAGTTCATTAATTTGTATCCTGAAGAAATTTTCATGAATTCATTTAAAAACAAAATTAGATTTATTAAAAAATTAATAAGTGTGTACATATACCGATGTTAAACACAGTTGGAAGGTATTTTAAGCAAGACATAGTTATAATGCAAAATGAAATTTTTTGAATTATTTTAACAGGTAAATATAAATAAGAATTTCGGTTCATAAATTTAGATATAGTATCAACGTAAAATGTGTTTTTGTATTAGAAATTATTCGATACGTTTTAAAAATTTAATACACTTCTGGTGAAATTGCTTTGGTATTTGAAGTAAGTATAGTTCAAGTTTAATTCTATAGAAAAATAATGAAAATAAATATGTTAAACATTATCGTAAAAGGCAACTTAATGAAACATTTTAGATTCTGATTTTATTTCAATTAAAAAGTTTTATTAGTAGATTTCTCGAGGAAAGATCGTAATATAAAAAATTAATGAAACATTAAATTAAAGTATTCATGTCGGTGAATGTGGCCACCTTAGATATCGTTGATTTTAAAAAACTCTATAACATTTGTTCAAAAATATGTTCAAAGGTTTGTTCCGGAGGCCTCAAGTTTAAAAAAATTAAGACATATTGTTAAGAAATTTTTGCTAGATTATAAAGAATGCCACATACATTCATATATAATATATGTTAATAATGAATACACGTATAACATAAGAAACCTCGTATTATGAACTAAAAATTTATGAGAATTTTGTTGTTCGTTATACAAAAATTTACATGCTAGCTTGTACACGCTTATTGAAATTCAATTCAAGTCACAAAAAATAATTTTGGTTCAAGGAACTTTCATTAAAGGTCGGTATGTTTTATTCTTCAATTTCAGAAATTTAATTGTCGTTTTCGTTAAACGAAGATTTTCTTATATAAAGTTCATAAATTATCGGTGGTTTATCGGGAAAATTCTTTACATAAGGAAAATTTAAAATATTTTGAAATTAATGAAAAAAAACCTCTTAAATTCAGCTTACTACGAATTTTGACTGCAATATTTTCAGAAATAAAATATCTTTCTTTTAATTTACAATACCTACATATATATGAAGCAAATGAATAATTCAAAATTTTTATAATATAGGACAGAGAATTTCCCCCAGAAGTCTTCGATATACTAAATAAAATTCGCTGTAATTTAATTTTTTTGGCAAAAAAAGGAAATAATGTCGAAAATTAAATTAAAAAATGATACAAAAAATATTTTGAAAATAAAAAAATTGTTACAATTAAAAACAAATTTTTAATTAAGAGAATAAATTTATATTTTATTCACTTATATATTTTTTTTAATTGTACATTAGTTTTTGTAGTATTCGTTGAACACATAATATACATACCTTTTTCTCTATAATATTTATATTATATACTTGTATAACATGCATAATGTATTTTCACATAAACCTAAAATACATAAATATTTGTACATACAGACATAATTTTCATTTTTAAAATAATTTTAATTTTAAATTTAATTTACATTCAATTTCAATTTATTTGTGTTAACAAAAAGTTTTTACATTTTAATTATATAAAAAATTCAATTTGAATTGACTTTTTAAAAATTATAATGAGAGAATTTTATTTTTTTTTTTCATTTTTTAATGAGATTTTATTAAAATATTTATAAATTAATGTTAAACGAATGTTTTAAATATTTTTCAATAAATTTTGCACATTTATATACTTACTTATATATAAAATTTTTATACATAATGTATATACCAATTATTTTTATTGTACACATAATGTACAATCATATATTAATATTATTTTTATTATTATCTAATTTATTTTTGGTTTTGTAGTTTTCTCAATTCCTTAATTATAATATTGTATGTATTTATAATAAAGTATTAAATCGGTGGACATTTTTTTATTTATCAATCATAGATCACATCAGATTTAATAAAATTTTCAATACTTTCAATAAATTGTATAACTCTGAGTGAAAATTTTCCATTTAAAATTTAATTGTGGTTATTTAATGGACTCATATATGGAATATACAAACAAAATAAGTTATGTAAATTTTCTCACAAAATGCAGTAGTTTTTGTTGTATTAACAAAAAAAGAAAATTTCAAATAAAAAGGAAGCAAAATTGAAAATTTTATAATCCTTTAGGTAATTTTCTATTTTTCATCCTTATTTTTTTATATAACGATTTTTATTATTTCCTTTGTTGCTGCATTTCTATTTCAATAATATTAATAATTGTTTTATCCTGTTTGGCAGGGCCTCATCACAATATTGATAATGATGTTATCATTTTACAGATTGCCTTTATACTATATGCTTAACTTTATTCGTATTAAATCATGATTGAAAAATTAGTTTTTTTTTTGTTTTTCGTATTATCACACCCTTATATATTGGATATCGTAAAATATTGCCCATTGTTCATGTATATTCTATTTTTGTTTATACAATAATCACCATATACTCGTATATATTGATTATGTATGCCATTGTACTTTTTACTTATATGTATTTATGTATAACACATAATAATATAGGCTACTTGTTAAGCATTGATAAAATATCCTCCGTTTTGTTTTTTACTATGGCATTTTTCATATAAAATATAACAGAGGGCAAATGTTATTAGTATGGCAATTGTAATGCCCATACCGATACTGATCCACATCAATTCATTATTGATATCCTTGTAGGAACGACCTTAAAATAAAATGAAAAGGAGGAAGAGAAAAAAAAATATATATAAAAAGTTTAAGATTAAAATTTCATATCCTGATTAGATGGTAAATATATTTTCTTTATTATACATATGTATGTATGTATATTTATATTATATAAAAATATTTTATATTCATAGAACTATGAAAAATGTTAAGAAGTGTAATAATTTTTTGTTTATATTACATATATACATACATACAGTTAGATAGTTAGATGGTTAGCCAGTAAGTTAGAGATAATGTAGTAATAAAGTAGTGATGAGTTAATATTATAACAACGTGGTTTGCTTTAATAAAGATCAAGTTCAAATTTATAAACAAAAATTATTCCTATACTGTGTTACCGAATTAACTTACCATATTTATATTATGTTAAACTGTGTATGTACATATGTATATAATTTTATAAGTTGAAACTAAAAATATAACATTAAAATAAGAGTGAGTTGAATTTTTAAAATATTTTCAATGGTAAATCTCTTTAAAATTTTTACATAAATTTAAACGATGGAGACGAACTATAGATAAAATTTAAATGTAAATTTGAAAAAAATTTTTAATGCTTTATGGAGGTTGAGAATGTGATTGCTTAGAACTATTTTTTCATGAAAATTATTTGAAGTGTTAGAAAATATTAATTTACGTTAAGTCGGGACAAACGTAACGAAAAATTTTATTATAGTAGTTTGTTTTTTTTTTTTGCAAAAAACAGTAGTAGCAGTTATGATATTTTAATTCATGGCCACAATTTTTAAATTTTCAATATTAATATTTAAAGTTTCATTGTAATTTTTATTTAGACAAAGTTATGTAACATTTTATTCATAAAAGCTGAACAAATATAGATTTGCATATAGTTACACTTATTAAAAAAGTGAATGCCAGAATCAAAATAATTCGAAGTTCTCACATAACGAGCTTTGTGTTTTATAGAATTTATGGCCTGTAAATTTAAAAAGGAGAAGTTTATAAGGTTTGAAAGTTTAGAAATAGGTTTAAAATAGCTTATCGCTATATATTACATTCGCCTGTTGGGGCACCTAAAAATACTGCGGTACTTTGGCTGAGAAACAGAGGGTTATTACTTAATGTGTTAATTATTACTTAACTTAGTTAATTATTACTTAACTTAAGGGTTATTACTTAACTTAGTGTTTTAAAAAAGGTCTTTATTAAAGACATAATTTCTGTGTGGAAAGTTCACTGTGGTTATTATTTGATTAAACAGATTTAAGAAAATTAAAATTATTAAAATTAAGAAAAACGTAGGATAGTGCATCAAAATTTCAAAAAGGTTAATAAAAAATATGCATGAGTGTACTTAGTCTGGCCATAGAAATTTTTCTCAATGAGGCGACAGCGTTTTATCAAAAAAATTTAAATAATTTTTATTAAATGACTAAGAGTTAATTGTATGAGTTTTCATGAAAAAAAAAAACTTATTCTATTTATTTTAATACCATTTTAAAAAATTATTGCTGACTTGTTATTTTTTATTTTAAACTTTAATTACCGTATTATATAAAAACTTTCACAAATTAAATAATCATTTGTTTGCTCATAAATTTAAAGTTTGAAGGATTCCAAGGCGTCTAAATTACCCTATAACTTTTCTTTAAATATAACAGAAATAATTGTAGTGTTGATTATATTGTACTTATAACGCAATTACACTTAGTTTTTTTTTAAATTAAATTAAAAAGAATGATGAATTAATTTTACAATCAAACTTTTTATAATCCAGTTTTTTTTTAATATTCTTCAAATAAAATTGAATAATTTTTGGCAATTATTATAAAATTTGGTTTATAATTTCGTGCCAAAATTATAAAAATAACCTTCGCATTTAAATAAGCTAAAGTTAGCAAATGAAAAAGAGAATAAAATGTATGAAATATGTAAAATATTTTCGCAGGAAGTCGTCAAACTATTTTTTTGCCTTTTCTTTTTATTCTCCTTTATTGTGTAAATATAGAGGGAACCAATGACAAGTGTGGTAAATAAAAAAAAGTAAAAGTAAAAAATTGTCTAAATAAAATTTATTACAAATTATTTTTAACCTTTAATAAAATTCCCATTTAATGAACATTCCAATGCTTTTGACTTAATTAATTTTTATAATTTAAGCTCTGTATTTTGGACTATTAGAATTAAAATGATTTTGAATTTGAATTGAATTATGTATTTAATATTTGCTCTTAAGTAAAAAATTTATAAAAATTACTTTTCATTTCGTTTGCGAATTTTTAATAATTCTCTAATGCTTATATGTACGTACTAGAATTTAATAACGTGTTCGTATACTTATGAAAATATATTGCATACTTCAAGGGTTAATGCTTTTATAATAATAAAATTTGAGAAAGTTCAAGCCAGACTACTCGGAGCCATTTTTTAAATTCAACAAAAGAGATAATATTATAAAGAAGAGAATATGGAAAAGAGAAAAAAAAATGGAGGAAAAAATATGGAAATATGCAAAAAATTTAATTGAAAATAAATTTGAAATTCAAATTGATTAAAAAAAATGCAGTAAAATTTGAAAATGAAATAAAAAAATTATTAAAATTCTGCTATAGAAATTCTTAATAAAGAGCAATCAATTGTGAAAAGTTAATAATAGTTCTTAAGTAATAACGTTTATACGCGAATTTGAGAATAATTATTGTAGATGTTTTCATAATCTTATAGGAAATTTACAAATTCATTAAAGAAATAAGTTTTAAGTAATTGCAATTGGGTAGTAAAATACAGAACCATTACTTAAATTTGGCAAAAGTATGTGTATATCAAATCAATGGTAGTACGTAATGCTACTTATTTAAACCCTTAAATTTTCTTCTTTTGAATGTGAATCTGAAATTATTTAAAAATTCCATTTTCAACTACAATTCTAATTATATTTATTACCTTAAGCAAACAAAATTATAATCTTTATTTTGTAAAAGTAAAGAGTGTAGAGTGTTATTAAGATATTTTAAAATATTGAAAAAAAATTTTTAAACCTATCGATTTTAAAGAAGCATAAAATTTGAAAGAATCCCTGATAAGAAAATAAAATCACATTTATAAAATTTTTGAATTTAATTTACAATAATATATTAAAAATAATTAATAAATTTAAAATATAATTTTAGATTATAGAAATTCATGCTTTATATGCAAAATTGTATAAAATATAAAATCGTAATTTTTATGAATTATAAATTTAATATTTATACAAGATGTTCGCGTGTTTATATGAAACTAATATGTTCGCGGATCTTCGGTTTTTGTGTGCTGTAGCTGAGTAAATAAATAAATAGCAAATAAAAGCAAATAAAATGAAATTCACTTGCAGAACTCGTGTCGGTCTTTAGGATATCGTGAAATCTGGGAAATGGTCTTAACGTTTTGATAAAGGATACTTTAATAGTAAAATATTCAATTATATTTTCCAATTTTTTAATAAAAATATTAATTTGATATCAGATTTTAACAAGATTATTTTTCTATTAAAATTCTGCTCGGATTTACGGTGAAATTGCTTTATGTTAAAAAAAAGATATCCGGTATTTGAGAAGATTCAAATGACATTTTAGAGCTTAACTTTTATTTTTAATTTTTACAACTTATTCTGTTGATGAAAAGGATAAAATCCTTTTTAAATCTATAAAATATAAAATTCCGTTCATAGTAAAAATACATCTTAGAGTAACATTAGAGCCCCTAATAATTTCAATAATCTTATTATGAATTGACTTAAAGGATTCTAAAGGATAAAAATTTACCCTTTTATTTTTACCTTTTTTCCTATAAAATTTTACCAGAATTACCTTTTAAAATAAAGAATATATTGATAATCAATAAAGTTATTTAAACAGGTGTCATTTTATTTTGGTCCTTTTATTGTCCAAGGATTTAATATTTCAGCTTTTAATTTTCAGTTATGAAAAAAATTTTCTTGATATTTGTAGGTATATTGTAAAATTTAAAAAGTGAATAAAAGTTATTACTATTTTTTATCAACTGCGAATTTAATTAAGATGTACAAGAACACAAGGTTCTGTTTTTGTTTTTATTATTTAATATCTATATATACTTATAGGGTAAATTATGGCTGCATTTTTTAAATTTTGATAAAAAACCAGTAAATTTCTAAAATCATTTGTAAATTATATAAAAATGAAGGACGCGCGAAGATATTTGGAAAGCAACAGGGTAAAATAACAACGCAAATATTTTTAATTTTACACATATATTCTTTATTTAATTTTATAGATATACTTTACATAATATACTCCGTACTATTTAATTTTATATACATACATATATAATACTCGTATTATATCAAATTTAAATTAAGGAATTTTTTTATTCATTAGTAGCGATTTCCATCTTGAATACCTAAACTTGTTTATTAATTTATTCTGCAATAAATTTAAAAATATTTGAATCAATCAAACATAAATATGCCGCCTTCAGTGTTCTTCGTTTGTTTCGAAAGTGTTTAAGATCTTCATCAAGTACAATCCTTTTTTGTTCAGAAATCCCAGTTTTGATAAGAAAATTACCTATTGATCTTCCAGTAAAGATCTACATCTATATTTTAACTGCAGTTGTAAATATGTATATTGTTTTATACTCATACATACAAATTTGTACAGATTTATACATAACTGCATGAACATATATGAATTTCTAAAACACAGGGACATATATGACATACACCCGTCCGAACAGGGACATACACCCGTCCAAGCGAATTTTTATAAGATAAATAAAAATGCGGCTCTGCTTGTAACGCAAGGAAATATAAATACCTGAGATAACAAAATTGTCACAAACTACTTAGATTAAACAATTTATGCATTGCACACTATAAAAACAATAAAAGATTTAAGAATTTGGTCAGGGAATTGGCAGTATAGGAGCGGTTTTTATTTTGCCTATGTCTTACGCGCTTAATCAACGGATTTCCTGATACCGTAAATCGTGCCTAAGACTGCCTTTATTTTGAAATAGACGGATGCTATTATTTTAGGAGTTATAAATTTTTATGGCTTGAGTTATTAAATATATTTTTTATGAGAAAGGATAAAATATTTTGCATATGCAAACTTACCGCTAAAATAATTGCTTTCTCCATAACCAAATTTTCCAGCTACGCGTCCTGCAGGCATTTTGGTATATTATAATTATTATTGTTTGTATACACAAAAATTCAGTTATTAGTCTTTTTGCAGATGCAATTTAAAATAATTTAATTTTTGTTGTTATTTATAAATACAGGTAATTCTCGTTTTACATTATATAAATAAAATCAAGAGGACCGCGACGTAATCTGAAATTTAATACAATAACGAAAAATAAAATAACTTTGTTACCGTGATATGAAAGGAAAATACTCGTAAAACAAATGCTTACTATTGTAGGCAAGGATAGTATTATATTGTGATATTTAAATAAAATTTTGAGGGAGTTTTATAATAAAAGAATTATATGAAGCTTAGTACCACTCATAAATTTTCATAATTATAATTTTGAGAAATTGAAGTTATAAAATAGTTCCCTTAATATAAATCAAAAATTTTGAGATATTAACGTTGCAGATAGGTGTTTTTTCTTCGCATTCCAATTTAATTTTATTCTAAAAGCATAAAAAGTAAAACAAGGTAGAATCAACGTCAAACGAGAGTTACTTGTATTTTTAATTTAAAAAAAATTTTAAATAAAATGTTGACTTTTTAAAATGGACCTGAAAAAATAAAAAAGAAAAAAAAACTTGTATTAGTTTTTAAAGAAATTTAGTTTAATTTTAATTTAAAGTTTTTAAGAGTACGAGTATATTCTAAAAATTGTTTAAAAGAATGTGTTTGTTTGTAATATTGTTAGAAAATTTTAAAAAATTTTAATAGTTAATGTCGATGCTTTATAGAATCAATGTTATGGAACTGGTACAGTTTTAATAACTACTCAGGGTTCACTATTAAATCTATAAGCAGGCAAAAAACACCCTGGTACCTCAAAATTTAAGTGTTAATTAAAATTACGGGTCCATAATTACGTTATACATGTATGTGAATTCTAAATGGTATAACTTTTTATAAAAAACTATAGAAATTAATTAGAAAACGTTCCTAAAGTTTTCAGAAGAGATCTTCTTAAAAAATTTTTCGTAGTTCAGATTTATTTTAGCTATAAATTCCGTCAAGTAATATTTGTTTTCCACTTGAAAGGGTTAGAAAATATTACATTGTCTATCATCATTTGGTATTTTTTAAATAATTTGACTAGAATTTATCGAAAAACTGTTTCTATAATTGCAATTACTCTCATGTAAGTATTTGTTTTCGTATTTGATATGATGCAAATGTTAAAAATTTCTCTGAAATTTCATGATGTATGCATGAACTGATTACAGGGTTAGCGTAACTTTAAATAAAGAAAATATGAAGAAACTTTAAGTGACAATTTTTTAAATTTTTCCAATTCTCTTTGACATCGATTGCTTTTCATTTTTTATACCCTGCACTTCGTGAAGGGTATATTAACTTTGGTATGGAGTTTGTAACTACTTGAAGGAGTCACCTGCGGTATGGACATATATATATATTCTTGCTCAGGGTAAAATTCTGCGTTGATTTAGACATGTCCGTCCGTCCGTCCGTCCGATCGCACGATAACTCAAAAACGAATAATGCAATCGACACCAAACTTTCACAAGTTGCTTCTTTTGTGCCAAGGACGAACCCTATTGTTATTGGACCAATTCGGACAACGGGTTCGGGTAGCTGCCATACAACTCAAAGAGTTTATTTTAATTATTTCAAAAACTAATAAAGGTACAAATGTAAAATTTTGTATACATGTGTCCAATTATATTCTACATAAGCTCTAAAAATTCTAATGAGATAGCTGCACCGGTTCGGGTGGCTGCCATACAACTCCAAAAGCAAATTTTTTATAATCGGCAAAATAATAAAGTCAGATTCATGAAACTTGGCAGTCGTGTGTCCAATTATAGGTCAAAGATATTTCTGAAGTTTTTGTGGAATTGCTTGACAGGTTCGAGTAGCTCCCATACAAGTCCAAAAGCTTACTTTAAATATTTGGAAAAATAACGAAGTTAGATTCATGAAACTTGGCAGTTGTGTGTCCAATTATAGATCAGATATACCTGTGAAGTTTTAGTGGAATTGCTTGACAGGTTCGGGTACCTGCCATACAACTCCAAAAGCTAATTTTAAATATTTGGAAAAATAATAAAGTCAAATTCATGAAACTTGGCAGTTGTGTGTCCAATTATAGATCAGATATATTTGCGAAGTTTTAGTGGAATTGCTTGGCAGGTTCGGGTACCTGCCATACAACTCCAAAAGCTAATTTTAAATATTTGGAAAAATAATAAAGCCAGATTCATAAAACTTGGCAGTTGTGTGTCCAATTATAGGTCAAAGATATTTCTGAAGTTTTGGTGAGATTGCTTGACAGGTTCGAGTGGCTCCCATACAAGTCCAAAAGCTTATTTTAAATATTTGGAAAAGTAATAAAGTTAGATTCATGAAACTTGGCAGTTGTGTGTCCAATTATAGATCAGATATATTAGCAAAGTTTTTGTGGAATTGCTTGGCAGGTTTGGGTACCTGCCATACAACTCCAAAAGCTAATTTTAAATATTTGGAAAAAAATATAGTCAGATTCGTGAAACTTGGTAGTTGTGTGTTCAGTTATAGGTCAGGCATATCCGTGAAGTTTCTATAGAATGGTTTCACAGGTTTGAGTAATTGCTATACAACAATGAAAGGTGCAGGGTATAATTCAATCGGTTCATACCGACTGAAACGTTTTTACTTGTTATACTCTTATATTGTCTCTATTATCCTTAGTTTAACTAATTCTGATTACAAATCAATTAATTTAAAAACCTTTCGTCGAAAACTACACCATAAAACAAAGTTGTCATTCAAGGTAATGAAATTTAAATCTTGAAATATTTTGTTTTTACCGTGGTACGTTTATTGGATCGAATTAATCGGTTTGAGAAACTTTTAATTAAGCATTGATAAATAAAAGAAACTTTTTTTCTTGAATTATTTCATCAGCATTAATTGAAAAGTAAAAACTATTATTAATTGAAAAGTAAACAAGTAAAAACGTTTCAGTCGGTATGAACCGATTGAATTATACCCTGCACCTTTCATTGTTGTATAGCAATTACTCAAACCTGTGAAACCATTCTATAGAAACTTCACGGATATGCCTGACCTATAACTGAACACACAACTACCAAGTTTCACGAATCTGACTATATTTTTTTCCAAATATTTAAAATTAGCTTTTGGAGTTGTATGGCAGGTACCCAAACCTGCCAAGCAATTCCACAAAAACTTTGCTAATATATCTGATCTATAATTGGACACACAACTGCCAAGTTTCATGAATCTAACTTTATTACTTTTCCAAATATTTAAAATAAGCTTTTGGACTTGTATGGGAGCCACTCGAACCTGTCAAGCAATTTCACCAAAACTTCAGAAATATCTTTGACCTATAATTGGACACACAACTGCCAAGTTTTATGAATCTGGCTTTATTATTTTTCCAAATATTTAAAATTAGCTTTTGGAGTTGTATGGCAGGTACCCGAACCTGCCAAGCAATTCCACTAAAACTTCGCAAATATATCTGATCTATAATTGGACACACAACTGCCAAGTTTCATGAATTTGACTTTATTATTTTTCCAAATATTTAAAATTAGCTTTTGGAGTTGTATGGCAGGTACCCGAACCTGTCAAGCAATTCCACTAAAACTTCACAGGTATATCTGATCTATAATTGGACACACAACTGCCAAGTTTCATGAATCTAACTTCGTTATTTTTCCAAATATTTAAAGTAAGCTTTTGGACTTGTATGGGAGCTACTCGAACCTGTCAAGCAATTCCACAAAAACTTCAGAAATATCTTTGACCTATAATTGGACACACGACTGCCAAGTTTCATGAATCTGACTTTATTATTTTGCCGATTATAAAAAATTTGCTTTTGGAGTTGTATGGCAGCCATCCGAACCGGTGCAGCTATCTCATTAGAATTTTTAGAGCTTATGTAGAATATAATTGGACACATGTATACAAAATTTTACATTTGTACCTTTATTAGTTTTTGAAATAATTAAAATAAACTCTTTGAGTTGTATGGCAGCTACCCGAACCCGTTGTCCGAATTGGTCCAATAACAATAGGGTTCGTCCTTGGCACAAAAGAAGCAACTTGTGAAAGTTTGGTGTCGATTGCATTATTCGTTTTTGAGTTATCGTGCGATCGGACGGACGGACGGACGGACGGACGGACGGACGGACGGACGGACATGTCTAAATCAACGCAGAATTTTACCCTGAGCAAGAATATATATATATGTCCATACCGCAGGTGACTCCTTCAAGTAGTTACAAACTCCATACCAAAGTTAATATACCCTTCACGAAGTGCAGGGTATAAAAACGTTCAAAATCCAATACGAAATAAAATTGACAATTTTTTATGTCAAGACAAAAGAATTGTATAACAAAATATTTTAATTAAATTTAATTTTAATATGTAGAAAGAACGTTTACACAACTCTTATTAGAACTATTATTAGAAATATATTGTCGTATATTCAAGTGTATGGCGGGATAGAATTATTTCGAATCAAAATGAAGAAAAGAAAATATTTTGAAGCATTGTTTGTATTTCTTCCAGAATTTTCGAGCTTTTATGTTAGCTTCCAGTAGGGTAATTAAAGAAATTTTGTTTAAATAAGAAAAAATTTGTTTAAATAAATTAAATTTTTAAAAATTTTTGATTTTAGTTGGGCTTAGTCTAATAAAATTCTTAAAAGAAAATTTTATATTCAAGTATTTTAGTTCTAGAGTTTTCGTTTTAAATTTATTAAATAAATTTGTACATTACAACTTCTTCTTAAATAAATTCTCAAATTAAATTTAAATCCATACAATGAAGAAAACCAAAATATTGAAAATATAAAATGCTTTGGTTTGATAAATGGTTTACAGCAATTGTATGGGAAGCATATCTATTGTGGGTGAAGTTTATACGAAAGTGCAATATTCTTTATTTACTCAATACTTACACTTTCCTTTTTATGCATTTTTTTTAGATATATTTGTTTAGAATGTTACGTAGGTATTTTGATATCAAATGCCAGGGTGTAAAACCATGGGATGAAAAAAAATTCTGTTAATAAAGAATTATTGGAAACTTTAATTAAATTCTGTTTTCCATCTTAGATTGGGTAGAATTAAGTATATTATTTCTTTTCTATTCAAAGTCACGTTTTTTATACAATTTAAAAATCCCGTAAAGATTTTGAGAAAAAATTTTGTTATCACAATAAGAATTCGGGACAAAATAAACAAACTGGCAAACCAATATTTTTATTTACAATGTTGTGAATTCTCTTTTATCTCAATATTGTGAAAATATTTTCTCATTTCTTTCAACATTTAATTTTAAAATTGAAAAATCTTTAACCTTAAATTTATCCGCTTTCAATTAATTTCTTTACAACTTTCCAACTCATCAAAAAATTTAAATTTTTTGCAACTTAATAAAATGAAAAAAATTTTAAAATTAAATGGTAATATTTCTCCAAATTCTTGTTAATTGTTTAAATTTAATCCTTTGAACTTTTATATAAAAAAGCAAAAAAACAGAAAAAAGTGAATTTTCCTCTTTTCTTTAACAAAAT